CCAAGCTGCGAGAGGCGTAGCAGCGAGAGCCATTTCCGCTTCACTCGAAAGTCAGCACACTAGTGGATTGCTCTGAGAACGGAAACGGAACAGACTGCAACATACCTATAGAGACTCGTTTGCGTTCCCCTCCGGAGACTCCACGAACAAAGTCATTTCCAACTTTCGTGTTATAGGTATGGCTCAGGCCAAATACCGCCATGATCACCTGTGCTGCGTACTTGGCATGCTCGTCCCGGGACATATCGCGGAATCGGTGCGAGGGAGTGCGAGCGGCGGCTGCAAACTCGAGTGTCTGTCCCACAGTAAGATGGGGGAAGTGCTTATCTACCTGCAAGAACAGTTGAGGTTAGCGCAAGCGCATGTGCGAGCACGAATCCTGCAGGCTTACCTCCTGGTTATAAACAATTTCGCCTTTGAACTCTTTCATCATGCGTGCTTGAGAGACGCCTTCAAAGCCCCGTTAGTGAGGAGGAATTGGAGCAGGGAATGGTTCAGAAGACATTGGTACCGTTGTAATGTAGAACACTTGTCGGATCAACGTCAAGCCCATGAGTCTCGCCGCAGAGTGTCTTGAGGAACGTGCTGCAACCTGCTCCTGGACGCCCAAGCACCAGCAACAGCTCGCCACTCTTCATCAGGCCATTGAAGGACTTGAGGATCAGTCGAGATGGAGAGTGCCTCTGGCGAAGCAGTTCCGGAAGTCGAAAGGGCAACGCCAAGGTCGAACCAACGGTGTCCTGTAGCTGAAGGGCGGCCCCGGATCCCGAGACATTCAATTGTTTGAAGACAATCCCGGCCTGTGGAGGCGAAAGACCTCTCCCTTTGGCGTCTGCCACAATAGTTCTGAGCCATTTTTCCAGATTGAATTCCACTGACTGCGGATCCAACGCAGGGTCATCCTCCGCTACAGCGGGCGTGGTATGCACATCTGGGGCGCCTGCCTCTGACCGTCTGCGCGACTTCTCCGACTGCTGGGTGGCAATCCGCCTCAGGTTCTCTGTCTCATTTGGTCTGATAAGGTCCATGGGAGATCTGACCGCAGATTCGTAAGTGGTTTCCTCATCTTGAGATCCAGGATCCTCAAGTAAGTACTTGTCCTGACTGTTGACGCTCATGATATGGTCGTGCTTGGCCGCTGATACACCCACGAAGGTGAGGGAATAGGTGGGAAGTATTGATTGCAATCAGAACCGATCAACTAGCCAGTATCTCTGTTTCAATTCCTTGTCGAATATCAATCTCTCAGGCCTTGAGCGGGGGGTGTAGTTGACTATTATTATTATATAATGTCACGGCCGTTTGCCTCTCTTCATCCGGAAGCTACCCTTCCGACAAGTCCACCGGACATTCTCACCTTCATTTTCTCCGAGAATTAGGAATATGAAGACATTTCACGGATACACAGGTGACACCGCGAGGGTGATAGTCCGTCTTGCATCCATTTCGGGCCCAATTGTAGGTCAAATCGGAGATATCGAGTACCGGGACCGAGGGGCGCAGTTTCCAATTGGACCCAGAGCACCCAGGAACTAACGATGTACTATTGCTTGATAGATTTCGCATCTTGCTGCCTTGCACGTTGGTCTGGTAGTCGAGTACACAAAGTAGTTGGATGGGGATCTAGTAAATGCTTGGCACTGCCACAAGTCCGCTGACTCAGCGCCTTTCCACGATAACCCCGACACCAACTGGAGAATGAGCATAAAGACGCAGCTTCTGGGGTTCGGTAGATTATCATCAGTAGATCGTTTTGCAGTCGGGACAAAATTTATGTCTTCTCCGAGTCCCGACGCCTAGAGCTGTCCACTATCTCTTCTGGATGCTCGGGAATACGCACGTTGCTAATCTTGACCCACACTGGCCACACACTACTGTCAGATCAGTCGATCATCTCAGTTAGTTAACTAGTTAACATCTCAAAAGCCGATGATTAAGCGGGTTCCGCTTCCTCGTCATGCCGGCGTACTGAGCTGAGCGATGGATGTGCCACAATCTGTAAGTGCGCTAAATAAACCATCGCTATTGAGTAATCGGATCTTGCTAATTCTTCAAGCTGTGATGAACTTGGCGGAGGAGGAAAGCAAAACCCTTCTCAGATGCGGTTGTTTTCCACTGGTCGAAGAGTGACAGACTGTAGCATCATTGCGGGTACTTGTCCTGCTTAGATTGAGTGTGACCATACCCCTGGCATACAATTACTGGTCGAAACAATATGAATCATCCTGCAAGGGCGATGCCCATTCAAAGGTTGAATGGCAATGATGGCGCGAACCGCCCACGCCGTACCCGACGTACATATGCTTGCGACTCCTGCAGCATCAAGAAGGTCTGTCCCCGATTACGGGTTGAATAGTCTAGTTATTCTTCTAACCAGTGGGATCTGGTATCCCATTTTTCATCTAGATCAAATGTGACCGCGCAACGCCCCAGTGTGACTGGTGCTACCATCATAACATCCCCTGTACCTTCACGCGCAACCGAGATTCCTCGCGCTCATGCTTACGCCAAACTCGGATTGATAAGTATGAACCTCTGGCTTTTCTTATATCCTTTGTATCTATACCTGATCGTTACGTTACATCGACAGTGATCCTTATTGACTCGATTTTCCAGCAGCAGTTCACCTTCCCCACATGCAAGTAAACATATGAGACACGGTATGTCCGTATTAAACACAACTCATATCTACCCCAACATTGAGTGTTCTTGATTATTCTAACGTTGCCCATTGCATGGATCAAAGAAAGAAAAACTCGGCCTGGAGTACCCTTTCCAGAGTGCGGTCCCCAGGCTGTGGCGCCCCAAGGTTTCGGGACCGATATATGCCTTGCTGGACAGACTCTCGGGAATATTTGTGCATTCAATGGCTTGCCTTTCTTCTCTCCAAGCGGGTTGGAATGGATTCGAGCTCGTACCGGCGAGGACGGATCTCTAGACCGATATTGCAGCATGAGGCCTATCACCTGGCCGCGGCTAGCTAAGAAACGTACCGAGGGCGACCGACGATTATCGCTGCCAGATAAATCGCTTCTTTTCGAACAGATAGAGGCTTTTCAAAATTCAATTTGCGGCCAGTTCTTGCCTCTCGTTAACCGAACATGTTTTGAGTACACTATCCGAGCGGCCTACGAAAAGGAATTGTCAGACATCTCGCCTGGGCTTTCCAGCGCCAGGGTATGTATATTGGCCTTTATGGCCCTGAGTTCATTCTTTGCTGGTCAACCGCATGTTGACAAAATTGTGACTGCCGATGAATATGCCCGCGAGGCCCAAGATCTATTACCGGAGATGCTCAACGAGTCAGTAACATTGGACGGGTTGCAGGCACTGACCATGCTGGTAAGACCATCGTTCTACTTCAATCTCTCACCTGTGTATGGGGATCTTGATAATTATACATAGCTAACATTTTGAGAAAAAGTGCATCTGCTGTCAGGCCACATCTGGAGATATGCTCAGTATAGAGCTTATGTTGTCCACGGCCACACGCTTCATCTTTCACCTCAAAGGCAACGTCTACCCCGAGGATATAGAGGGCGGTACTCTGGATGCAAAAATGCACGCCAGGAATCTTTTTTGGATCTGTTTCACCCTCGACAAGATGTTCAGCTTGCGCACAGGCCTTCAACCCTTTGTCGACGTGACGAATTGCGATCTAACGCTTCCTCGAATGCAGACGGTGACTGGCCCGCTGGAAAGCTTGCAGCCTTTCTATCATCAACACAACCACACCATGTTTCTCACCCTCATTCGCCTGTCTCTAGTCCAGTCGAAGGTCTACCATGGCCTATACTCTTTCTCCGCCCAACGCCAAAGCGATGCGGATCTCCTAGCTACCATCCGCAGCCTGGACATCGCCTTGGACGAATGGCGGTCCTCGGTGCCCACGTTCTCGGGCCTACCTACACAGAACGGAAATCGCATGGCCGATTTCCTTTTTGAAATGCAGTACCACTACTGCATGGCTGCCATCCATCAGACAAGCAGCCGGTGCACTGTCTGGGTTCGGAACCAGGACACCCGCGCGGCGGGCTCGAGCCTTGCCCTCAGCGTAGCAGCCAGTCGGTCTCTGTTACGAAAGTTCCTGGAAACGGATCCACAAATCGAGGGACAATTTCTCTTGTAGGCGACCAGCATATTTCTGGAGCAATGTTTCTGATACTAATATCCTTGGAAGATTTTGCTTACCAGAGCTCTCCACATCTGCCATCCACCTTTTCTCGAACATCCTGATGAGTCCTCTGGAGGACCGGAGCGACACTGACTTATCTTTGATGAGAGTAGTACTTGAACATATTGGGAAGTATATATGGAGGCAGACGCCAACCACATTTACCGCCCAGGTCCGTCTTGTGGAAGAGTTTATGGGCGACCTCTATCATCTGGCTGAGATGGCAATCCTCAAGGCCCGACGGGAAAGTGGACATTGATATCAAGGCATACGCGAATCTCAAATCTCCTATCTGTTCATTCCAGCCTTTAGCTTTACCCTTCCCTCAAATCTCACGGTAAGATAGTATATTACCCAAGGACACTGGGCTCGAGCAGTCGGAGCAAGATATTGCACCACTCTTACCCCAACACTCCTTGTCCCGACACTCTTTCCCGCACTTCGGTTCCTGAAGTAAATTGCTCTTGTACACGAACAGGCAACAACGTTGTGAGACCACGTTCTAAGCATTGCCAAGCTCATTGAATTGCCGGGTTGTCGCAATGGCTCTGTCCGTCGAAGCTTAACCAGTCCCACAACAGGGGGGAGATCACAGATCACTTCCTATTCGCACTCAGCATCTCGTCAATTCTAAATGGGATGAGCTTCGGGAAAATATTGCACGTTGCCTGCTTCCCCGCAGGGGACTTGTCGATGTCGTTCGACTCCTTCGACTGCTCATCCCTCAGTGATGGGAAAGGTACTTATAGTGCAGTCCGCCATCTCGCAGTTATTCTGCACATTGGAATCGCTCATATCTTTTTTCAGTGACCTCACGTCCGTCGACATGGCGGACTTCAAGAAGATGCCTCTCGCATGGGCGAGCCTGGTCTCAACCATCCTGGCCTCCTCTGCTCCTACTAAAATGACCGTTGGTGTCATCGGCGGTATGATCTATATCACCATCTACCACAATTGAATTCAACGCATGCTAACAATATACAAGACTTTGGCTGGACTGGTTGGAAGCCCGCTCCTCTGTCATTCTGCAACGAAGTCATGCCCCGTCTGTTCGCCAACCAACATCACCATCCCCCGGGAGGTCCAGAACGACTGTGACCCGGGCGACAGCGCGGCCGTCTCCAATGCAACAGCTCTACAAGGCAAGTTCAGCACTAGTCTCCCCAAAAAGCTAAATCCTGCTACTAACACTCGGCCAGCCGACACCGCCGCCTACATCGGCAAAGTCTGCGAGAAGAAGAACTGCAGCGCCTTCCTCTCCGTCGGCGACAACTTCTACGACAGCGGCGTCGACTTCACCACCGGCGGGATTATCCGCTTCCACGAAGCCTGGGTAGACACGTACCGCGGCCACGTCTTTGACACCACCACCTGGTACCAATGCCTGGCCAACCGCGATGTCGTCAAGGGCCAGAGCGGCGTAGACTTCGAGACGAAGGTCGCGCCCCTCTACGACCCACGCTGCTACTTCGGCACCACAGGCCAGCCATACTACACCTTCGACCTCCACGGCGCAGACTGGACCGCAACCTTCGTAGTCGTCGACTCAGACTGCTTCATCGAGAAGTATCAGGCCAGCACATCCGTCTACCAGAACGCGTACGCAGAGCAATGCCACGCCGAGAGGGCCACGCAGGTTGCCTTCCTGGAACAGGCCGTCGCAGCCTCAACAGCCGAGTGGAAATTCCTCCAGCTTCACCACGGGTACATGTCCGCCGCGACGAACAACACCGACGTTGCGCCGCTGATCGCCGTCGTCGAGAAGCACGGCGGCGTCGTCCTCAACGGCCACGATGACTGTCTCGCGCACTTCTACAACAATAACACGAACCCCATTCTGGCTGGTGGAGCGGGATACCCCCAGGCTGGGGGACTGTAATTATGGGATGCCGCTGGGCCCCGTACACCAAGTGGCTGGGTGCGAACTCGCTGTCTGCGGCTAATGGATTCGTCACGATGGACATATCCCGCGAGGAGGTGAACGTCGAGTACTATGCACGCGATATGAAGTTTGAAGAAGGGGATCTCTACCCCGTCAAGAATGATATGACTCCTTCGTATTCATTCAAGATCAACCCCCATGCTCGGTGATTTTGATCCCGGTGTATTTACTAGTCACCGCCATGGATATGATGTTGAGAGAAACTATCAATGGCCAAACGCAAGTGACCTAAACATCCAATACGATTCCATGCAAAACTCCAGTCCACCGTAGCAGTTTAATTAAGGTATATAGTCACACTTCGTATGCTAACAAGATCCACTAGACATAAGTGCTCTGTAACTGGTGGATTAGGTGCAATTACCGACAGGATCAGTGCAAGACAGACCTCAAATAGCGCTATCGCAGCTGATGGTCCCACCTACACCACTATTAATATCTCAACTTAACAATATCTGGCAAATATGTGAGCTTAAAGAGTAGCGTAGAACTTGTCGTGGTATTGTAAGGAACCTAAGAGACGAAAGCATTTTCAACACAATCTATACAATCCAACGACTGCATAACAGGGAATTAAGAGGCTACCCAAAGCCTGAATGAACGCAATTTAATCGTGAAAAGGGACGTAAACTGCCATAGAGCCAAATCATCACCAACCATTATTTCAAACGCCGTGAAAATGCAGAAAACACCACATCACTGAGCCTGATAGACCTTGAAACTCTTAAACTCCCAGTAAGCCTCGGTAAGGTTGGCAGGATTGCGTGCAACAAAACTGCTACATGTGCCCGGACAGTTGTATAAGTGAGTGTAGAACTGAGGCTGTGCGCCCAGCTGGCCACAGAGATCGATATTGGCAATGATACTCTGGTTGCTGAAATGGGACGCAATATCGCAGTTAGTATTGGGAAAATCGGCCAAGGCAGTTCCCCAGGTTGTTGGGTCCGGGATGTTATCTGAAACGTCGTTCGGTATCGAACCTCGAGGGAAAAACCAAGCTCGGATGCCAGCAGTGCGGAGCTCCAGAGCATAAACCTGATTTTCTTAGCATATTGGAGAAACCCGCCCTGGACAAAAGACTTACACCTCCCCCATTCTCATTGAATTCGGGTCCATAAGAGGCAGGTGGAGCTTGGACGCCACAGCCTGCATTGCCGTGAGTGCTATTGTCACACTGGTGGTACAGCGCATGCCCTGTCTGCTTCCGTTTGGCCTTCATGTCACAGCCAGGGGTCGTATGCAGGGTTACTGCGTTCCCTTCGGTGCCTCCGTTGTTGGCCTCTACAACATCAATCTCGCCGTTCAGTGGCCAATTGTACGTATCACTGAGCCACAGGGCGGGCCATGTCCCGCAGCCATAAGGCGTATGGACGATATCAAAGATGAAAAGGCCAGTATCGTAAGACTTCTTGGACTCCAGTCGAACAGACCGTCTGCCATTGCTGGGAGACTCTTTAGATGTGTCCACCCTCAGAATGACAGAGGATTCCGTAGCATAGGTCAGATTCAACTTTTCAGCTGTGATCCTATCCACATATCTGCCCAAGAATCAACCCAAGCTCCCCAAGACAGAAAGCAGAATGGAACACTTACTGCACAAACCCGTTCGTGGGGTCCTTATCCGAGAAATAATTGAACTTGTCCAGAAACGTCGGCCCCGAGTACGTATCCAGCAATCTGTAGTCCAGCCTTGAATAGTCAGGATACCGATTGGCCCTCGTTCCCTCTACGGCCCCTACGATAGCAGCAATAAGAGCCACGACAATCACTGCTCCCGCAATAAGCTTCGCGCGCAGCGACCACCCGTGAGGATTCCACCACGGCTTGGCGGCCTCAGACGAAGCGTTATCTTGAACGCCGAACGAAGCAGGCTTCGACGTTTGGTGCTCCTCCATTCCGAAATGACCGACCTGCGTTGGGACGCCGCCGTATCGACTGTAGTCGTCGGCGGCGCCGCTGTACGGCTTTTCAGCCATATGCTGCGGTTTTATTGCGAGTACACGATCAGCGGAAGGCAGAAGGCAACGGATATCAGTAATTGAATCTGAACAGCGCTGAGCTAGTGTATGATGAACGGAGTTTGCTATGGAAGAGGTGGAGTGTCACGAAAGACGCCGCGACGAAGTGAGGGATGTCGTCATGCACAACATGAGAAACTGTCACCGATCATATCCGAATTAGGAAGCTGGCATGCACGGCTGCGTGCAGCAGCACGAGCTTTGTTACATTGCACAACCCATAAATCAGATCGAGTCAAGTAGCCTTGTGTACTTGCCCAAGATTAAGACTTCAGACGAACCTTTTCATGTTGTCTTTGCGATCAAATATCGATCAACTATCGATCATCTACGGAGTACTCCGTACACAGAGAACTGGCCACCAGATGTACTGTCTGAAACAAGCAATGTATGTACTGTGTGTGGTCCCTGACACTAGACCAAAAACAGACACGGCTTCCCTATCCGGCATGGTACCTGACACTAAATAAATTTCATACAGCAGTGTATTCTTGCTTTTTGCAAGACATCCTACCAAAAAGTAGGCTCCACCCTAACAATACGCGTCATTATCAAGAAAGTACTCCTTAACAAAGCAGTTGTTCACTCATCAATACCGAGGTACGAGTATTCTGTTGGTGGCAGGAGCGAGGCAAGGGCAGGAGAGAAAGCGAAGCTTCCGCCAAGACTAACAAGCCCCGTCTCTAGGAAGCAATCACAATCAACATCAGAAATTACTGAAAAGCGGCGCTATAGAATCATAGCCCACAGCATCCGTATGGACTCCATGTCGTAATTCCAACAAATCTTAAGTAGACATTGATTGTCTTTTACTCACCCTTGCAGCCTCCTCAGGGGAAATTGGGAACGGAAAATGTCTCACCTCGGAGTTGACTTCTACTGTGGATAAGGATATCCACAGGTGTATACATACAGGTACAGAGCACCGTTTGCATCATGCAGTGCAATTTGCAAATTTTGGCATTCCATGCCAGCCATTTCAAAGTCAAAGGCAGAATTACATAGTAGAGAGAAAGCCGAGTAAAGTCCTTTGCAGATTTCATATCTTGAGATTCAGTTTAATGGTTGCTGCCTGGAGTCGATCCACCATGTTCTAAACAATCCTTCGCTAGCCTTGGTCGATCTCAATTTCTGTTTCAGCTGTCTTAGAAGACTGGCGGATCCTTCTAACATGCTATTTTGCCCTAGTTATTGTGTATTGATGTCTCGAGGCTTTAACATGGAGCAAAGTGTGATTATGAACAGCCAGCTGTGTTGCTTAATATATAAAGGCAAATGGTCGACCATATCTATTTTAATGACAAGATCTGCCGCCGTGAGGATATCGAAACAATAATAATATGTGCTCAATAAACAAATCCCTCATATATGTGCGAAGACTTCAAATAGTATGTGCAACCTCAACAGTACGGCACCAGACACCTGAAATGTGTCAGGCAACCCATACAATTAAATAGCACTGGTCTATCCCTCGTTCAAATGACAAACTCCTACCGCTGTGATTTCTGGGATTTTTGCGACCGCATTGTCGAGTGCCGGCGGATGATATAGTCCCCGTTTGTCCATGGCGTTGCACCCCTGTCCCTATCCTCGGCGCCTGTTGCGACACCATTCTCTGTCCGCGCTTGCGAAGAAGTTCGGTCCATCCCAGACATGGTGCTGAGGTTGGAGACACGCCGACGCATTCGTCTCTCTGCATCCTGCAGATCCTTGTCCTTGAGAGATTCCGACGGAAGCAAGATTGCACGGTCGAGGGAATAAGGGAGACCACGATGTCGACCACGGATTTGCATTGCAATGATAATGAGCTTTGACAAAACCTTGAACTGGCCACTGAAAGACGTGTTGACACCTGGATATCCGAATGACAGGCCAACGGTACCATAGGCGGAGACAATCTCGAAGAGCACTGCCCACATCTGGAAAGCATACTCGTCCTCTGACTGTAGCCGGTTGCCCTCCACGATGGCAATTATGAACAGCCCGAGAAAGACATACCACAGGTCAAAACTCAGCTGCCTTCTTAAATGGAACCCGATGTAACTAGGAGGGGTCTGTGGTTCGTCTTCGTCCTCCCCACCCGCATAAATGCCGAGACTCTTCTCCTCGTAGACATTGGTTCTTCGCATGGAAATGGCGATGGGGAAAACCGAAATATACATCATAATCATGTAGGAGACCTGAATTGCAGGGTGAAGATCCGCTACGCTCACCACGCCAAATCCAGCAGTCCGCGTGGATGCTGCTTGGAAAAGGCCGTCGAGTACCCGAATGCCCGGTGACAAAGAGGTAACAGTCGGATCGTTCAAGTCGAGAATAATAAAGAAGATCAAGTCAATCCCGTTCAGCGCCACGAGGATGGCGAACAGCCACCAGGTCGCGTTTCGCGGGAAGAGTAAGGTAAAGCATCGGCGAGGGTGATCCAACAGAAACTTGAGCTCCTCCCAAACGGCGCTCTCGCGTGGGACAATTGTCGACAGAACCCAGATGATCAACCGGAGCATACAGGGAAAGCCGGTGTTGCCAATAATGATAAGGAAAGTCATGAGGAGAAGAGGAAATACAGCTGTCTGGAACGAGGTCATGGAGTCCGGCGTCAGCGTGAAGCCGACGTCGTTGAAAGCAGATCCCGCGGTGAAGATGCCCCACCAAGGACGACCTTGTCCGATTTGCTCAACGACCTGACCCCAGCGAGTGGTCATGATCCAACCGACGAGGCAGACCATTCCCAGGATGTGAAAAAAGAGATAATAAGAGGTGAGTACAATGGCCAGAGTCTTCAAGGCTCGGTATTCGATGCCTCCCAGCTCATCACGCTGCTCCTCGGTCAAATCAACAAAGTTGGAATTTCGTGCAACAGTAGCGTTCCAACTGAGATATGGAAGTGTCGTACGCTCCCGTTCGTGGGTTAAGGAGCGAACAAGATTGCTAAGAGTAGGGCGTCGTGACCTTGAACGCTCCAGGGCTGATGTATCGTTCAGATCTTTCGTGTCCCGAAACGTGGGACGTGTGTCCAGACGGGGGAACGTCGAATTTCTGGTTCTCGTCTGCTGTATGTCCGGTTCATTGATGGTGATGTGCGGCCCTTCCAGCGGTCCAACTTGGTCGGACTCCTCCGAATTCCGAGAGCTCTCGTCGTCAGATTCGCTGCTACGCGTCCGCTTGGATCCCTCGCCTTCATCATCTGCTTCCTCCAGGACCTCGGGCATGCCGCCGCGGTCATACTCCCGAGGGCTGGGAATGCGCAATGCCCCTTTATTCTTCCGTTGTTTCTCCAGGAAAGCAATGTGATGCTCAGGATCCAGCTGTGTCGGCACCCGAAGGCTGCCCAAGCCGAGCCCTAAAGTGCTATTCGGACCGCCCGTCTGAACCTCCGAACTGTCCGCTCTATCGAATTGGGAAGGCGACCCTGGAGTCGATCCATACTCGGGGGTTCCAGCAGCCGCCTCGCGACCTCTGTCATTGGATCCCTGGGTATCATTGCGCAGCACAACAATCGGGCGAGAACCAATACCAGCTTCTTCCCTTCCCAACGAAGTTGCGTCCTTATCACGACTCAAGGTTCGCATTCTCGTCCTGGTAGAGCGCATCGCTCGAGTATCCTGCACGATGTGTTGAAACCGCTTCTCGAACCAATACAGCCGGATGAAGACGAGGACGGAGTGGATGAAAATCGGCGTCGTGAGCATGGAACTGAAGTAGAGGATCACCTGCTGGTACGTTTTTAACTTGTTGAAATCTACCGTATTAAGACCGCTCTGAGTTGCCGCGCCGGAACAGAAGAAGAGGATGTCAATATAGGCAAGATCACCTCCTGGATAAAGCATAATGGAAGTGGTCAGTGTCATGGCGATGATGTAGATGTAATGCACTGAGATAAAGTTGAGATGAAGCCCGCTTATCAGCGGAATGCGGGACTTCATCGAAGCCAACCGCCGAAGCACAGGAGTATACATTGTGGCGGGAACTGGAGGACAGCGGGCGTCTCGCAGAGACTACCCGATCCTGTCCACGAAGAAACCTTTGCGGTCAAATAAGCCGTCGACGAGACTCCCTGAAAATGAAGAAACGAGGTAATGTTCTTCGAGGAAGGGTTTGAGTTGAAAGGACGTTGATCCGCCGCCACACGAGAGATCTACCGCACGAGTTCCGTGACTGCAAATCTCCGAAGCTGCGCGCAAGTTATGGGTGCAGAACAACTCCCAGATCCAACCAGTGTTAGCCTCGAGTCACTGGAAAGTAGTAGTTCAGGAGAAGACAAGCAGTCATAAAAGCCAAGAACATTGTGGAGCAGGACAACCAGGCAGAACTGAATTGAGAATTGTGGTGGCCGCAGAGGCAAGAAAAGGTATAAGAAAACCAGTCTCAGTACTCAGATGTATAGAGTTGGGAAGAAGAGAAGTGGAAAGGAGATTCGGAGAAGAAATGGCAATGGACAGTCGTAAGACTAAGGAGAAAATTGCGATGGACCGGGGTTGGTTCAGGAATAGGTTTAGACGGTGAGTGCGAGACTTTGCCTATCAAAAATCAAAATAGATCCTAACATGACGGAACCGAATAATTAATTAATCGCTCACTGGGGGGCGTTGATTTTGTGGATCTGCGGAAGCAAATCCAGATTCCAAACTTGAACAAATCCAGTACGGAGTAAGCTTGGTGTATTATTCTGTTCCATGTTCCCTTAGAGAAGCACTCCGTAGGTGTCCCCTAAACTGCTAAACTGTTCAGTGTGGACATCTACCAGTAGCGGTAACGGCCGAGGGATGACCAGTCCCGACCATCGGGTCAGCACTGTGATGGCTGCGACCGGCCGGACTGGACCATCTGGTATGTCTGAGGAATGTATCGTTACAGTCTTGGCCGCATCGCTTTGATAGCGGCTGTGCTCTCGGCATGGCCGTACAAGGATTTGTGCATATATCACCACGCTAATACCTGCAGGCTGCTGTCATGATGTTGATCATCCTGGGTAATAATAATCCTGCTATTGATAAATTGAATAGACATCACAATAGAAACAGTAAACACTATGCAAGCCACTGATAACAACTGGTTGCAAGATAGGTTTCCTACACGACTGATGAAACACCTACGAGCAAAGTCAGGGACGGTAACTTAACGTCCAATACAAATTAAAAATACCTTGACTCTGATTTATGACCTGGGAATTCAGTTCCTTCATGTCTTTTGCAGTTTGCCTAGCTCGTTTCAAGTGGGGATGCACTTGTCTCTGGGTACCACAAATACGCACTCTAAATAGATTAAGCTTTGACCTGTATTTCACTGTTGCACTTTACAGAGCACAAACTGTTTCAGTCTACCTCCCCTAGAGTGAGATAATGTATCAGCTCAAGCTTCTATTCTCTCTTTGTTAATATTGGAGCAAATACATGCCCTTCTCCATATTGTAGGATCCACTTCTGAGTATGTCTCAAGATTGAATGTTTACTTTAGTTTGATTGTTCTGCTGCGGCCCGCACCACTACGTACTTTCCGACAGGCCAGGGAAGCCGAATCATTCCCGAGTACCCCTAGCCCATAGCTTACTGCCCTGTTACTACTGGCATGAACTGGACACTAGCCTGAGCTACTCTTGAGCAAGGCATGCAAGCTTCAGTAAGTGGCTAAAGTGACTCTGCAGCAGATCGAAGGAAATGGGTTGCATTTGAAGTAACGACTTCATCCAGTGCGCCAGGTCATGCCGCAATGCACCAGTTACAAAGTGATCAGCGCAGGACATATCTGACGGGATGAAGGGAAAAAATCCCGGGAAATAAATCTATTAGCGGTCGGACTCATTCATGCGACAGACTGTAAAGACTAAATCTTCATGCACAACATGACCAATCGCTGCGCAGAAAAACTACGCTCACATGCTCGCTCTTGCCCACCGCTCATTCTAATCAATAGTAACCTCAAAAAGGCGACGCAAAATGTGAAATCCTCAGAATCACCGGCGCAAGCTCGGGCAACAACAGCGGTAATCGTCTTGGCTTCCATCCCTCCTCGATGGGTAAACGCTCCTCACCAAACAGCACTTGTATATACTCCTCTGGCACACGATACGGGAAGCCCCGACCAAATATACACTGAACCGCTCCCAGCTCCGCGCATCCACTGAAGTGATTGATCCTATCGAACTCCAAAGCCGGATTGTCTCTCTTCTGCTCGTCGTACCGAGTCTTGCGATACTTACCGAAAGCCGACGCGCTGAAACCCCTCTCTGTTTTTGGAGCCGCGAGGAATCGCTCCAGAAGGTCGGCGTTCACGCGCATGCAGTCGCCCAGGGCGCGGTCCTGTCGGGTTACAGAGACATCGTGCTCCACGGCGTGAGGTCGGCCGACCTGGTCGAGGTTCAGCACGGGTACGCCGTCTTCGTTGACCTGGTCTTTATCTCGTAGACCGAGCCGGGCACCTTTCTTCGGGTCGTCAGAGTGAATTTTGAACGCCCCGTTGACGAGGATTGCGATGACATCGATGCCCATGCCCAGGTAGCGTAGCGCGGCTTTTAACTCAGCGGCGGTGATGTTGCGGCCGCTGCGTGCAATGATCCCGTGGTTTGCGAGCGAGTTGAGAACCGGGCATGGGGCTCGTAGGTCGTCGGGTCCTGCGGGACGGTAATCGCCTTTGGTAAGAGGAAGTCCCTTGGGATCTGTGATTTCTGCCATTTTTGACATGGTTGTGGGTAATGGACATAGACAAGGAGAAGTGTTGGAAGAAGCACAGTATTTATGCATTTGGAGGCTGAAGATGTCAGGTTATCAAGTGACCAGTAGTGACAAGGTCAGATGAAACGTGTTGTGAGTTGACTAGGTGATGCATGCCTCTTGAGGAGCATCAGAGGCTGTCATCAGTCGCTTGCGGCAGGTGACCGATAGGGGGCTTGGTGGTTACACAGCCCTACTATTTTGCCTCATGTTTATCGGATGCATCATAACAACTGAATGGAGAGATCATATCCAACCTCAAGATTCGCTTTCTCTGGTTAGTATTAAGGACTCTGCAGGTTGCACAGACCCTCTTTGCTTTTCTCCATGATGGGGTTGCATCCACCCCTGAAACAAAGAACATATGGAACTAAATTAAGAATAATGGTAAAGCTCAACTTCTGGAGTATGGGAACAGCATATATACAATAGATCTAACCAAGCTCTAACTGAACCGGTCCACCAATTCCTGTATCGACTGATTCATCTCATGCTCCGTCTCCCATCCCAACATATGCCCGGCTCCTTCAAAAACCTTCCATGTAATCCCCTCACCAATCTCCTCTTTCAAAAGCTCCCCATGACGAAACGTAAGCATTCGATCCTCCGTCCCATGCAAAACAAGAATCCGCTCCCTGCCCACTGCATCCCCCAGCGCCCTCAACTGCTCCGCAGACTTATGGTGAAAGTAACAAGCAGTCACCTGCAACAAGAACCCCTTGGGCGTATACGACTCCGTATCCGCCTTCTTCCTCAAATGCCCCGCCGCAAAGCGATCCCTCTTCGTCGGGAAATTCAACGCAGGATCCTCATTCTCCGTATCCGGCTGCGCCAGAAACTCACTCGCAAATAGCGTCGCCGCGATGCGGTCAATCTCCACGTCCACATGTCGCGGGATGAACATGCTCGCGCGCTGCTGCAGGTTCTCGAAGAAGGGCGTTGTGCGGACGAGTCGCGGAGCCGTACAGCAGAGCGTCAGGCTGGCGAGCCGGTCCGGGATAAGCATCGCGACTTCCTGCGCGATCATGCCGCCCATACTGGCGCCGATGACGTGGATGGCGCGTGTCGCGGGAGCTTTCATGTCGATCCAGCCCAGCGAGCTGACGAGATCCACGACATCGCGGGCCATCTCGCTTGTGGAGTAGAAGCAGGTGGGTTTGTCGGAGCGGCCTACGCCGCGATTATCGAAGACAAGACAGGAGTATTTCGAGCCGTTGAGGTGGCCGAAGTACTTGGTTTGGCGCTTCCAGTCTTTCAGTGCGGCATTTAGGCCCATGATCCACTGGGTGGCATTAGCATCGTACTTCTCCTAAGAATAACTTGCAGCGGGATTACTGCATGCGCGAAAGCGATGGAATACTGACAACTAGCTTCACGGGCCCCGTGCCATGGATCTCGTAGTTGAGGTTGATCGGACCACCGCGCCTGTTCTGAGCCACCAGGGCCCGTCCCGAGGTTGTGGGAGGGAGTTTCCACTCTACAGTGTCATATGCTGGATGAGCAATGATCTCTTGAGCTGTTAGAGGCGCCATTTTAGGTTGCTGTCCAGGCCTCCAGGGTTAACTAAGTTTACATGTTATAAGATGCAGCCGACGTTCCCGAAGTCCGGCCGCAGTCGTTCTTGGGTCTTGTTCCTTGTTTCTCTCTTGGCGCCCGATCCCGAGGCACGGTCACTAGCAACTGTGGGTCACGCGACCTTGTGATGCGCGATAGACAATGACCTCATATGAATTCGTGGAGAAAAGTGAACAGGAAAGATTTCTCCTGGAATAGAAGATTTCTTTATTTAGATAGTTTTGAGATGTTGTGAGCATCTGCCGCAATTGTACCTCCAGATCTACCTCGTACAGCACAACTCATGCCGAGTTCAGGTAAAACAACACATTCATCTCAAGTGAACAGCTTCCATAACCTGTTTTGCCTTTTGAACTCTTTCCCGAGTCTGCGGACTCATCGAAGCATTATCTAAGACGCTGCTGAACCTCTCCTTACACCTCTGCCAACTTTCCATACTTATCCCTTCGTCTTCCTGGGCCACAAGTCTCTGTCCGCACTGTATGACCCATTCCGCTGCAACAACCATCCTAGATTCCAGAATAGATCTGGGGCCATCATCGACGAGTCCGAGCTCCAAATCTTCTTCTAACATTCCTTCGATCGAATATTTCGCGAAGAGAATCAAATTAGCAGAGTCATCTCTAGTCAAGCGAGCAGCATAAGCATTTAAGCTCTGCCAATGTTCACGCTCCTCCTTGTCATTCAGAGATACCATACCTATCAATCTGTCAATAGGAAGATCATGATGCCAGCGGCTCGCACGAATCTATACTTACAATCATACATCTCCCTGAATGTCGGACCTAGCAACGGTAAATCTCCCCACAAGTCAAAGGTATGGCCCCATGTCGCCAGGTAGACAGTTTCGGTCTGGGAAGATAGACCTCTCAGGGCTCTGATCAGCTCTGCGAGTCTGTCCTGTTCAGGAGCAGTGTAGGGTATCTGCTGGGCCACATTATGAACCACGCCCCAGAAGTGCCAGAGAAAACTTCCTGGGTCCTCGCGGGGCTCGTCTGCAGGTTGATCCTCATCAGGACGGTTCGCAGGGAACAGTCGATCTAGTGCTTGAACTGCGGCTGCAGGGGAGGCGGCGGGGTCTTGTAGGTAGTCCCGCAGGATCTTGAAGATTTTTACCTCGATGAACCATGGATCGTCGTCTTTTAATTCGAGATGAAGAGAAGACATAATGAGATGGTGACTGCCTCTACTTTGGAGTTCAAGATGGTGAGATGGTGGTTTTAGCTGGTGTGATAAAGGAGAAAGCGGGGAACAACAAGACAGGGTGGGATATAGATTGTTTGATATGAACCACAACAAGAAGACAAGGGAAGCAGAATCAACAGAAAAAGAAAATCAAAGTAGAGATGAGTAAAGATGTATTCTTGATTCAGTGCTTTGGAGGCGCAATTGTTCTGACGCTGTCCACTTGGAAATCTGACATCAGGTCGTGTTTCAAATGGCATGTGTACTTGGGGCCAAAAAATGAAATCAGGCAACAGCGAGGCGATTTCCAACTAGTTGTGTCCCTTTGAAAATGCTCACTGTCTCACCTGCAAGGGTCAGGTAGTACGCTTTTCAGCTCTACATGTTGCAATCCCGGGTCTAGTCTTCAGTGCTGACATGCATGAAGCTTAGGTCAAAGATCCACTCCATCAGCTTACGGTCATCCCTTCTCTCTCCATTAGGAAACTGCCCACAAGGTCCCATGTCTCTAAGTTTACAATGTTACATTGACTCCAAAAGCTCGCACTCCACTTGTCAGTCCACGGCACGATCTATCCTGTAAGGGGCGTCTTCTGGCCCCAAAAATTACCTCTACAGACAGGGTTGCTCACCCAACATCATCTGAGATGTGCAGAGGACAAAAGACGCATCTTCGCGATAATCCTATGTCCTGGGCGAGCAATGTCAGCTATAAAAGCTGTTGAATTCTCTCGCTTGTCGCAACCGAATTGGAAGACATCGTCACAATTGTCCTGACTACGTCCAAGATGGTCGCAATCAAAAACCTTTTCCTGCTGGCTGCCACAGCCGTGTCTGTTCTAGCTGCTCCCTCGCCCCTCGACGCTCGTGCGGTAAGAGTCGCATCAAGAGGCCTTCAAGAGGATAACTGACATGACCCCATAGACCTGGACATGCATCAACCAACAGCTGAATACCAAGACAAACAAATGGGAAGACAAGCGGCTTCTATACAATCAAGCCAAAGCCGAGAGCAACTCCCACCACGCACCTCTCTCCGACGGCAAGACCGGTAGCAGCTACCCGCACTGGTTTACTAACGGCTACGACGGGAATGGCAAGCTCATCAAGGGTCGCACGCCCATTAAATTCGGAAAGGCCGACTGTGACCGTCCCCCGAAGCACAGCCAGAACGGCATGGGCAAGGATGACCACTACCTGCTGGAGTTCCCGACTTTTCCAGATGGCCACGACTATAAGTTTGACTCGAAGAAACCCAAGGAAGACCCAGGCCCAGCGAGGGTCATCTATACTTATCCCAACAAGGTGTTTTGCGGCATTGTGGCCCATCAGCGGGGGAATCAGGGAGACTTGAAACTGTGTTCTCATTAGTTATGTAGGTATTATGCCTTGGAAGGTCAATATTGCGTTGCCGCCACTACTTTCTTCGACCACAATATGCGCCTTATTTACTGTTCGGGTAGACTTGGGCTCCAGTGATATCTGGAGAATTATGCTTGTTTATCATTATTGGAGATGCAAATTGCCGCAGACATTTCGCTCAGTCACTGCTAGATATCTGGATAGACGTTTAGAGACCTTCTAGTATCAGCTCGTGTGAAGGTAACGTTGCCTTCACATTTGCAACCGAGATCAGAAGCTTCTAGCAATTAGTAGACAGGACAGTCGAGCTCTTCTGTAAATGACCTGAATCCCAGCTAAAGCCATTGCACCATGACTGGTCTCACAGGTTAACTTGGCTTACTACAAGTTTCATGCAACCCCGTGATTGACGGCATAGTCTGAGAGAGTGAAACTCTTGTCTAGCATGTATGTGGCATCCGACATGTGTAAATAGAGATTAAGGGGAGGGCTGCATGTGAGTATTTGCTTGGAGATCATTGGACATTTTGCCATAGGCACTTACGTTGATCTCGAGTCGGAGCAGCTGAGACACTCCTGAAAGTGGGCGAGCGTCTATCCGGGGGTCTTGGGTGAAGACGTGACCACGGGTCAGTGAATATACTCACTAGGGCCATGACCGACTCGAGCATTCGGCTGAATGGAGAGCATTCCCTCAATCTTCTCAACCTCCTTTGACACTTTACCCTCTTGATCAGCATGCTGGATGAGTGCAGATAAGCCAACGGGTTGAAATAAGAAGGTGACAAGGGACTGAATTGATCCCTCAACTGGCCCACGCGGTCATTGCTGCTTGCTTATTGGCTCGAGCTTAATGGTCCAATATGCACAAGCGAGCCAATCAGCATAGCGATCTGCACGTGGACGGGCTCCATTCCTCTTTTGTAGCCCATGCGAGTTACCAAAAGGGTAAAGTCTGTTCTGTGTGCCTCAGGCGTTGCTTTTGGCTGCCATTCTACTTCGTATGCGACGATTGCGCTTCATCTCCTCCACTTAGACACTACTGCACGGTGTCGAGTTCACTGTTGCTTGCCCAAATTTCTTCACAGCGCCTAGGAAATGATGACCTCCCTTTCGGGAGTGTACTCCGAATGGTCATGGGATGCTTTTTCAAGAACTTTTCATGGCTTTTATCTGACTCACACAGAGCGTGCTATGCTGGACAGACGGGTGGAAATTGACCTCTTCCGGACACCGCCATTTTATTGGCCTTCAAAGCTTAAGAGAGTCCACTGCTGATCCGAGCGTTGCTAGCATGGAAAGAGCCCGATCTTCATCACCCAGAGCACTGCTAAGGGCGCTTTTTTCTTGCTAGCCTCCGACTCTGAAGCCGTTTTTGAGTCCTTGTCGCTCACGCTTAACACCTCATTCCTTTTTGGTCAGGCACGTGGAAGGGGTTGGACCTGCTGACTCAAGTGAGAGAGCCTGATACGGTGTTTCTGCTAATTTGCCTGAAAATCACAGCCCACCGAACGCTTGCAGGTGCTTTAGGGTCCATATCAGATTCGAATGATTACCACGGCTAACGAACCTTGTCTCTATTGCTGATCATTATATACAGTCTTCTAGAGCTGAACCGTCGAATGATAGGGCCATGATGCTTATTCTGATGCTGTTAATGGTCCATTCGTCAGGCCCTTATACTCAATATACTCCAGCGCTTCCAGCGGACCGCTACCTAGTGTGTCCCTGTGGAGGTCATGAGGAATAGGGCCATTTTGTCCAGGACCCCTTTTTCTTAGCTTCTTGACGGTTATATACCATGGCCTCTGGTAGAGAACTGATTAGTTTCCCCCCTCTGCGGGGTGAAGGATTCTGCGGCAGGTATTTGCTAACCAGGCTTATCACAAAATGGTCTTTCAGTGGGCATCACGCTGCTTGCCTGGCTTCAGTATCATTGCGTTGATTGTCCTTCTTCGGTTGACCTCCAGTGATGCAGTCGCCTTGTGGAAATGGAAGGGCCCGTTGCCATCGTCGCCAAAAGATGCGCCGGGCAGTCAGCCGCACCATCTCAACCTGGCCCAGCAGTTGTTTGTCATATACACCGTCCTTGTCCATGTCAGCATGTTCGCTTTTACCACGCGTCTGGCGTGGGCCCTTTTCAGTGTCACACGGAAGACAAAGGAGGCCCTGCAGCGGCGAAACGTCGCGCAACCTCGCATTTCTGTGGACAAAGATAAGTGGCTTTCGGACACTTCGATACTCACGGACACGGATTCGGATGTATCTGATCCACTGCTGAGCGATATGGCTCACTGTTGTGATGGTCTGGAGGTCATTCATGCGATAATTGTTCCGAACTACTGTGAGGACCTACATACATTGCGGACTACCCTGGATGTTCTGGCGAGCCACCCACGGGCACGGACACAGTATGAGGTGGGTGTTGAATGAGACTATTCGTGCTTCCTGCAACTAATATCGGACTTTTGCAAATCAGATATACCTCGCAATGGAACAGAAAGAAGCTGGGGTCGCCGAAAAAGCGGCCAAGCTGGCATCAGCATTCGAACTGTCCTTCCGCCATATCCACGCTACCTTCCACCCTGCGAATTTACCTGGGGAAATAGCAGGGAAGAGCTCAAATGTGGCATTTGCGGCCCGACACATTATGGAAGTGCATAGGGCAGAGCTGGACTCGGGACATTGTGATGTGATTGTTACTGTTATGGATGGTAGGTGTTGTCCCTTTGTCTGATCAATCTATAGTACTAATCGGGTTATAGCCGATACCCATTTCTGGCAGGACTACTTTACAGAGATCCGGCGCCTTCATTATGCGCACTTCTCGGAGGTAGATCGGACTCTATATTGCTGCCCTATCATTTTCGACCGCAATTCGCATGAGACCCCAGTTCTGGTCCGTTGTGCAGACCTACTTTGGGGATTCGCCGGTTTGTCCACCATGTACCCTGGGACGTGCGTTTCAATCCCGACATCGGTCTACTCTTTGCCACTGTCTCTGGCTGAGAGGATTGGCGGCTGGGACAGTGATTCTACTGCAATCGGAGAGGACATGCACATGATGCTCAAGTGCTATTTTGAGACTGCGGGCAACGTCATCACTCGCCCGGTCTACGTTCCCGCAAGCCAGTGCAACGTCTCGAGTGATACCGGACGAGGCTGGCGACGGTTGTTGGATACCTGCCGCGCCCGTTATCGACAGGCATTGAGGCATATGTGGGGTGCACTTGACTCGGGCTTTGCCGTACGGCGTACCATCAGTTACATTCGCTCTCATTGCCGCTGCCTGTTCTTTCGACCGAGGCACCTTGCCCTGGTACATTTGCTCTGGGAAGCTCACTTTCTTCCTTGCCATCTGATCATACTCATGCTATTCTCTACCATCTATACTCTGTTGACGCCTCCAGCTTCACTTCATCCAACCATGGCATGGGCGTTCGACCTTACCAACCTGCTACGCGCATCGTCATATATCGGAATGAATATGTGCATTTTTCTGTACGAGCCATGGCATGCACTCTGTGTGCGCACGCGGAAAACAGATATGCAACAAGCAAACGTGGCGGATGCAGGGTTTTCAGAACGGATCTGGTGGAGCCCTGCGCAGCTAGTGGAGCGCATCTGCTTCCCTATTGCAGGAACCGTCTTTGGTGGTATTCCAACGGTCCATGCAGTCTTTTCGCATTTCTGGACCGATAAGTTGGTATATCGGGTGAGCAAGAAGCCGACTTTTTCGGTGGCTGGAGCGATGGCCTAGTTACGACATATTGCTTGGAGAACAACCGCGTAAGCGGACACTAATACGTATGACTTATGAAACTAGATAGACCAGATAATATTAATGATAATGGAGATGTCTTTTTTCCAGGTCAACCAGTCATTCGAAGCTTACTGTCGGGCGCCAGTCAAGTCACTGTGTGAATGATGGTCAGGCAGAGGGCTGCTTCTACTCTCAGTATGTGTCACATAGAATAACCAGCAGGACGATCAGCATAGCCATCTAGGCGAGATTGTTTGTTGGATTGTCTGTTGCAATAACTACGAAGGTGACTGTTGGATGGTGGTTGATGTTTGAGTACTCCGTAGGGCAGAGGTACACCGAAGCGGGGTATGGAGATGCTCAACCCCACAACTTACCCCAACGGCCGGATTCTCCAACTTCCCTTAAAGATAAGTCCATCGAGTGTACATCCCCTGATTCATATCGTCGAACGATTCTCTGAATTGTACACAGGGCTCCCTATCCACGTCTGAAATGGCACCAATCCGTCGAGTCGCGGTGATCCAATGGCACATCAAGGCAAGTTACGTCACTACCATGCGCACCACGGTGACTGCTATCTGGAGCATCCCGCAGATTTTATCCGCTCCGTGGCCTCCTTAAGCTGGATCTAACGCCTGGATTCATCAGGACCTCGCGATCGAAGAGAACCACGCCAGAGCATGCAATTACATTCGAGATGCGGCCGCCCAAGGCGCCGAGCTAGCCGTCCTACCAGAGTAAGTCATTGGTCCGGGGAATCGAGATCATCTTCGATATTTGTTGAAACAGTAACTCATTCTGACTAGATATCATCTAAACGGCTGGGCTCCGGATGACCCCCTCTGGGCCGAGCAGGCAGGCGAATATAAGAAGTACCTAACCGCCTACCAAGCCCTCGCAAAGGAGCTCCATATCTGCCTCGTGCCGGGAAGCATCGTCGAAAGACACGAGACCGAAGCCGAGGGGAAAGGAGGATTCAGCCTCTACAACACCGCATACTTCATCTCCAACGACGGCAGCATCCTCGGCTCCTACCGGAAGAAGAACATCTGGCATCCCGAGCGTCCTCACCTCACCTCATCCGGCGAAGCGCCGCATGAGGTATTCGACACGCCAATCGGGAAAGTGGGGCTGCTGATATGCTGGGATCTGGCGTTCCCGGAGGCATTCCGAGAACTGATTGCGAACGGGGCGGAAGTGGTGATTATTCCTACGTTTTGTAAGTGGCCTGTCTCTCTTTGTGTTTGGTGAATTGGCGATTGACCAGACCACCAAGGGACTCGCCACGATGCGTCGCCCGAGGCACTATCATACAACCCCGACTCGGAAGCGCTCTTCCTTGAGTCGACGCTGACGTCTCGCTGCTTCGAAAATACCTGCGCAATTGTCTTCGTCAATGCTGCGGGTGCCGACGAGAAGTTCCTCGGTATGTCCCGCGTCACGCTCCCCATTGTCGGGCCGGTGGGTAAGATGGGAAGCGAGGAAGGCGTGCTGGTGGTGGATATGGATATGGGGCTGTTGAAGATTGCCGAGGAGAATTATCGGGTCCGCGAGGACATGGCCAAGGAAGGCTGGCATTATGTCTACCGCCATAGTACTACAAGATAGTGGAAGTGCCTGCATGTTCATAAGTTTCTCATTGCCGGCGCTACAGGCCACGATCAACTAGCTTCAAAAGGCCGTTATCATCATTCTGCATTCCACCACCAAGCTTCAGCCCCGCAAATGGTATCACCGAAAGCCGATACGATGCCAACCATGCTCCTATTCGCTCCATTCATTTCAGTCCAGTCAGTCCGGGATCTGCTCCTCAACCGCTCAAAACAAACCGCTCTGAGCGATCAACGAAGCAAACTCCTGGTCCCTAATCACCTACCCAAAATATCAACATCGCCCCCAAGATCATTACCAACACTAACAGAATAACATCAATAGCTTACAATATACAACGGCTCAATCACCCCCCAAGGAGGACAAAGACAATGAGGACACTCCGCCCGGGTCCGAGTCGAACCAAGTGACCCAGCCAAGTGACAGTCCTTGTCATCGCAGCGCTCCTTCGCCCCAGTCGGGTCATTGATGATCTCCAGGCAGGCGAGGTAGACTTTGACTTCGACGACGTGCTTGGGGAAGGCAACGCAGCCGGTGGGTTTGTGGTAGACGGGGAGGTATTCGCACATTTGGCTGAGTCCGTGTTCTGGTGGGTATATATTTGCTTTAGCTGCTCGCTCCAAATCGGAGTAAGGATTGTTCTTACCGTAAAAGGAAGACAGAGTTTCAGACTTAAGACTGTATGTGTGAGAGAGATTACGCTGGTCTTTTGGGTCTTGTTAGTTGTATGCTACGCAGACACCGGCAGCAGCGAAATCGGAATAGACATACCTTGCTATCACCGCGGAGACGAGGCAAATGATACAGCGCAAAGATGACTCAGTCCGTTACCAGCTCAGAAAAGCAATCAGACGGTAAAAGCTCCAGTAGGAAGACAGGAGAATAGAAGATAATCTCCTCGATGGCGGATAGACAAGAGCAGAGAAGCGAAGGAGACAAGATGAGGAACCGAGAGTGAGAGAATAAGAAGACATCTGAGCTACCCCACCATTCACTACATGTTTCACCTCATTAAACGGTATCAAACTCAATCTCTTACTTCTCTCGTCTCCTCTTACAGATCTAAGTACAAGATGCCCGCGTTGACGTTGAATCCGAACCCGATATACTTCCTAATCAGTATACTTCTGCAGTTCACGATGCTGAACGCTTATTGGCTAATGATATAACGCTAACTGGGCGCTATATAGCACGTGCTGCACCTTAAACAGATGGCGCTAAACTGTTTTAGTGAGGATGACGTGTGTTATTTATTCTGTAACAGTTTGGTAATCTTTCAGCCACATTACCCCTCAGGTACACTTGGTGAATACGCAATAGCTGCGCCACCTGGGCGGATAATAGGTGAATAAAGTAGTCAAAGTCAGAAAATGATAGAATCAAGCGATAGCATTTATTCAGTGATATGTACAGGTTAAGGAAAGGATATCATGCTGAACTCATAAACGTCTCTCTTAATTCTAATAAAGCAAGAAGGAAAAAGGAATCATCCAGAGCAATCATTAGGCAATACAAATTCGTGGTATAGAATCTCTTGACAACCGGACATCTGGAAAGACATTCATCTCTAGAGCCCTTGAAAAGCCCTCGCAAAGAATATAACGTAGGATATAACTCCTCAAAGCCGCCACAAGAATCCGCTCCAAAAAGGTCCAGGAAGATCCAGTAGGGATGGTAAGTGAATCAACGAGAGTAATGGGGCCGGCAAGCGAGGATGTCGTTAGACAATCACTGAACTTGGCTGACGATCTCGCTGGCGCGGCTCAGGCTCTCCACCATCTGCTGGCACTCCTTCCGTCGGCGAATGGTGTAGTCGCTCTCCTTGAGCAATTCGTCCAGCTCGTTATTGCGGTACATCTGCTCCAGCAGTTCACGTTGCATCTCATCCTTGGTGAACCTGAAACCAAAAATTAGCGCAAAGATTAGCCGAAGGTGTCGATGCCACTTACTGAACGAGGGTGTACATGATGGCCTTGGGGACCATGTCGATCATGGTGCGCTTGACGATGTTGAAGTAGGAAGTGATAAGAAGCTCTATCCGCGTATTAGTTTCTGCTGTCATAGCAGGTTTTACCTAAAACTTACTGATCACCTCGACCTCTGTAGCCTCACGCTCAGAAAGAGTGGCAGATGCCTTGAGGGTGGGTGGAGGAGGCTCCATGGCAGCCATCTTCTTCTTGTTCTTTGATGCCCAGAAACTGCCGAAGAATCCAGACCCACTGTTCTCTGTGGTGGCTACGGCGTCGACCGACGGGCTGTTTGCACGAGGAGGCAGAGGCTTGCCCGTCTTCGGGTCTACCTGCGTAGGCTTGCTCGCTTGCTGGCGTTCATTGACAATTGCCATAGCCTGCATTCTGTCAGGATCGCTTACAAAAGAAATTGGAACCAAAGGTCACTTACACGATGCCCGTTGAGGAAATCGGGGTGTCCAGTGTTGATGTAGCAGGCCTCCATCGAGATCAAATCGTGGACAAGCTTGTTTGTCGGCTCCATGCACTTCTTGAAAAAGCTGATGACAACAGCATGGAACTTCTCCTTGAGCATGGGGTATCTCCGGAAGAGCTGCTTGTTCAGAAGCTGACCCAGAATGCGCACAAGTTCGTCGTATACCAGCGAGATACACTTCAAACTGGGGTCCTCCAATCTCTTGATCTGCTGCTTGACGATCAACTCGAAGGCGGTCGTTCCGACGAAAAGCGCAGGAGACGAGCCAGAAGAGTTGTAAAGGATTGTTCGAATGTCAATATCCTTCACCTGGTCGAATGGATCCACAGCCTTGATACCGTTCGAGTACAGTTCGTGGAACACAAAGCTAATACGGGCACCACCAGAAAGCTCCACGCTAGACAGCTCCTGGTTGTTTCCCTCCAGAACCGTGCGATACTCATTGCTGAATTCCGTAATGATGTTAAGGATAATATTGGCACTGTTTCCGAGCATCGAGTCGCCAAGCTGGGACAGCTCGGCCGTGTACTTCTGGAGAGAGGAGGAAATTCTGGCTTTGATATCGGGCAAAGTCTGCTTGATGTGCATCATAAGGATCTAGAGAACGGAGGGTCAGCTAAAGTTCCACCGATGATATGATTCAGCCAATAAAACATACCAAGTTCAGCTTCCTGGCAAGATACGGTGTTCCGCAGTACGAAGCCTTGTTCCGATAAGCCTTGTGGCTCTCGAAGAAGTTCTTCTCGTGCTCTAGTGCGTATGAGATGGGACGCTTGTTCTCAATATCACGCTGGCCACGGTTGACCACAGGGACATAACCCAGCCGCAAAGGGATAATCCTGCCCGCAAGAATATCCACCACATCTGTACCCTCGTCCATCAGATCGACCTTGGTTAGCACACCGATAGTGCGCTGACCCTCGGGGTCCACCTCGCGCGCCAGCTTCAATCCGTCCGAGTTGGCAAGATCCTGGTTGGCAGAGGTAACGGCCAGGATGATCGCGTTGGGCTTGCTGATGTACTTGAGAACCATATCCCTAATCTGCCGTTCAATATCCTTGGGCTGGTCGCCGACTGGGACCTTGGTGAGACCGGGCAAATCGACCAGTGTGAGAGTCAGGACATTGGGCGAGTAAATTCGCAAGTTGATGGGCGCTGGAGAGATACCAGCATTGCGACCGACTTTCTGTTCAGTTTCCCGCACAATCTCCTCGCGAATCTTGTTGAAGTCATAAAACTTCTGTCCGGGGATGTGGAGGAACTCGCCGTATTCGTCGACATTCGCCTCGCTGTCTGTAGTTTCTAGCTTTTCCTCCTTGACTCCGTTCGTTACCGAGTTTCTTGAAGGTCTGTTGATGAGCTGTAGGATGAGGGGTCTCCGAGTCACGATTCCCGATCCACGAGGGAGGCTGGAGCAGCGGGCAACCTTAATTAGCGACGACTCCCAGCATTGAACACAGGCGCAGGAACAGTTAACTTACAAGTCCCTTCCAACGATATTCTCGAGAACTGAACTCTTGCCACTGGATTGCGAGCCTACCACTACGATCTGTGGCAGATCAATGGGGTTGTGAACCTAACCAGACAAGCGGTGTCAGTATCGGATAGAGGGGCTCGCAGGATCAAAGCAGACAGATCTCCAAACAGTGGATGAGACACTTACACCGACTGTCGAAAAAACATCTTGAAGTTTGTTCACCAGTGAAATCAAGCCGGGATCATTAACGTTTATACTGCCAAAATTCATACAAGTTAGCTAACGTTTTCGGAGCTTGGCCTCGGGGGGAACAGGGGCATGCGCACGAGGTTGTTGTCGGGCTTGCCATGGTTGGCAACTGTGTAGAGAAAGCGATCGCACAGATCTATTTCTGCAGTAGAACAGAAGATTTCGATTCAAGAAGAATGAGACTCGAGTGTATGGCCTTTGCTTGGAGGAAGTGGTGATTGTGTGGGTAGGAAGAGCGGGAAGAGTTGGGATTGCGGCCAAGTGTAGAGTTTCGGTTGTGGTCCAGATCAATATAGAAATAGATGGGCAACGGAGGAATGATAGCATCAACTTATGGACACTGCACCGGCCACGACACTTCTTGTATCTATCCTAGGAATAAAGGTCTTCAGTACTAGTTATTATGAAATACATGGAGAACGATCTTTCCACAGAAGTCCAAACTAACGTTGTCGCTCACGAGAGCCATCGCTGCACCCGTCATGTGGCTGTGGCCACAGGAGACCGCTTTAACAGTGGTGCCTAACATCAGCCACCGACATTGCGATCAACAGGCATCAAGTTCTGTACGCATCATGAGGTAGTTTACGATATGGCAGACTCTTATGTCCCATTTCTACCACTTCTTTTGCTCTAGTAATTGGCACGAGAGATAGATAAACTTGGTGCCATTTATGTGCACATGGATATAGCCCTTAATCAGAAATCAAGTGTATAAAAAGTCACAAAGGGCTCGACAGTGGGCACTAGCTTGCGGAACAAGAAAAGTCAACTCAAATAAATACAAAGACACAAAACTTGCTACATATAGGCTTCTAATAAACATAAAGGTAAGTATCGCCTCTCCGGACATTCGTCTCCTTACTCGTCCGACACCGAAGCGAATCTCTCCAGCATGGTCTGAAGGATCTTCTCATACTGTGTAGATTTGTCAGTGACGAGAGACTACCGATTTTGATGGGAAAAATTGAACTGACCTTCTCTGTAACCGCTGCCTGGTTCTCTGGAATTTCAAACTTCATGCTACGCAAAGAGGTCTGAATGTCAGCTGTGGCGTCACGGACCTTGCTCCAGCTCTGCCCCTGAGCAATGGCCTTCTGGGCTTCATCATGGAAGCCCATGAAAGCCTTCATCATATACTCGGTCTTCCACAGAGGACAGAACTGATCATAGTCACTGTAACCGTTCTGCTGCAGGAAGTCATCCTTTACCATGGCTGCGACGTCCAGGGTGATCTTGTCCGAGTCACCGAGGGCCGCCTTACCGACCAACTGTACAACCTGGTCTAGATCCTCGGACTTGGACAACAGTTCACGGATCTGGTCTCGTAGACGTGGGAATTCGGGATGATGCTTTTCGTAGAACTTGTCCAGAATGGCCGTGTACTTGCTGTATGAAATCGATGTATTGATCGAGGGGAAGTGTTTCCGCTGAGCAAGTTTCTTGTCGAGACCCCAGAATACCTGCACGATACCCAGCGTGCTACTGGTGACGGGGTCGGAGAAATCACCACCGGGAGGGCTGACGGCACCGACGATACTGACACTGCCATTTCTCTCGGGGCTTCCTAGAGCGATACTCTTGCCAGCACGTTCATAGAAGGAGGCGAGCTTGGCACCTAGGTAGGCGGGGAAACCCTGGTCCGCAGGCATCTCTCCCAGACGACCAGAAAGTTCACGCAAAGCCTCGGCCCAGCGAGAGGAAGAGTCCGCCATCATAGCCACGTTCTTTCCCTGGTCACGGAAGTATTCGGCAATCGTGATACCGGTGTAGATGGAAGCTTCACGGGCGGCGACAGGCATGTTCGATGTGTTGGCGATCAGGCATGTACGCTTCATGATGGGCTCTTTGCGACCTTCGACATCGATGGACAGCTAAGTAAAGAGTTTCGTCAGCGTGCGATCATCTGAGCAGAGGTCTAAGGTCCCGTACCTCTGGGAAATCCATCAGAACTTCCGCCATCTCGTTACCCCGCTCACCACAACCGACGTAAACGATGATATCACTGTTGGAAAATTTGGAGACACTCTGAGAAATGACAGTCTTTCCGCAACCGAAAGCTCCCGGGATACAAACAGTACCTCCTTGTACACTGGGGAACAAAGAGTCCAGCACTCTCTGGCCGACGATGAAGGGCGCATCGGACGGCAGCTTCTCATTGACCGGTCTGGGCACACGAACAGGCCAAGAGTGCATCATACCATGTTCCGACTTCTGTCCGTTGAATTCGATCTCCAGGAGCTTCTCTTCAACGGTATATTGGCCAGCAGGAGCTATCCGGGTGATGGTACCTCTAGCGCGAGGAGGAAGGAGGATCTTGTGGTCGTTGAACAAGCTGTTTTCAAAGACGGTACCCCAAATGTCACCACCGGTGATGTGGTCGCCGACCTTGAACTTGCCGGGTTTAAAGTCCCACTTCTTTTTGCGATCCAAAGCATTCACTGCAATACCACGGGGAATGTAGATGCCCTTCGAATGAGCAGCGATCTCCTTCAGGGGTCGCTGAATACCATCATAGATTGTTTCCAACAGACCGGGACCAAGCTCGACCGAGAGAGGCTTGCCCGTACGCATAACAGGATCACCAACCGTTAAACCAGCTAGATAGTGAAAGAGGAAAACGTTAGCATCATAGTTGCCAGTAACAGTTCGTCATAGTGTAGATGCGGAGCTGTACCTGTCTCCTCGTATACCTGAATGGTAGCCTTATCTCCATCGAGTCGAATGACCTCACCAACCAACTGATCGTGTCCGACTCTGCACTGAAGTAGCAAGAAGCATTTCAGTCAGCTAAACTAACCTCGACAATATCCTGAAGTGAAGCGTCAATAATGACCTACCAGCTCATACATGGCACAGCCGATCATGTGCTCGGCCACCACGACGGGGCCAGATATGGAGAAAATAATGCCATGCTGGTCCTCACCAGTCTTGTCCTTACCAGAAGGAGCCATTATTCGTACAACTGGTGTGTGTATGGATGAAGAGGACGGGGATGAGGGGAGCTCGATGTTGCTATTGCTGCTACTGGAGCTAGAGGTCGTTGAAGTGGGCGAAACGGGAAGCGGTGGCAGTTCGTCTGGTGCGGGCGGTGATGACGGCTTGGATTCGGACAGATCAACCACGCCGCGACTGGCAATCAGGTCCAGCAAGGAGGGGCGTGCTTTGAGTCGAGGTCTACCCAAACCCAGCATCAAATTCGTAAGAGGGATTGAGTTTCATACAAGAAGATACATATGTCGCAATGCGCTCAAACTACCACCGGATTTGATGGGATCGTAAGTTTACTCAGCCATCCTACAGAGCGGGCTTGGTCTTGTCTTCGTCCCCGTCTTGTATTGGCACTAAATCAAAACAAGTGCTGATAATCAAGATCTCTGTTACACTATCTAGCATTTGGCCGTTTACTTTCAGATTTTGCTGGTGCACTTCGCGAGTAGAAGGAGCTTTCCTGGGCTTTAACACAAGTATTTAATACAATCTTTAACCTGCAACTAACACCACTTTCAAACAGTGATAAGGCTTAAAATCATCCGAATGAACTTAGGCCAAGAGCACACCATGTGACTGCTGATCCGTCGGTAAGTAGATGGTGAGGGACAGTAAGGTTGAACCTTACAGCAATCGCTCTGAAGAAGTATGATAGATTGGACTGCATCTTCAGAGCCTTGAAAAGATAAGGTGCCTGGGGCAGACACCCAGCTCTGGTCAGGAAACCCACCTTGCCTCCGTAGTCCATCCTTATCATAGAACTAATGGAGTAGGATTCAAGAGCTGTATACTGATCAGATACATAGGATCAACCTAACTCCCCGCACAGAATCCTTACTCTGCTCTACCATTCCTTGCGTCACACATGTCGAACCGCAAAGCCGCCTAGCCGCTAGTGACTTGCCTCATCCATGGGTAGCAGTTTTGGTTTGGGTCGTCGGAAAACATGGCCTTCGGGCTTCAAACTTATGTGAGCAGGTGCATGCCAGCAGCGCTGTATATATGAGAGGGGTGTTTTCAGGTTGTTGCCGGAATGGCTCAGAGGAAACAATTTTACTGAACACCAATACAGCACGCTACGCGATATATCGAGACATAGGGGGAAAGTTTATTCGCTGTGCTACAAGCTATGATTTCATCAAGCCAGGAAGCCCAGAATGTGCGCGAATACTGGGGTTACAAGTTCGAATGGAGCGATCTTCATCGATGTGCGGAACAGCTACGCCCGCTGATGTTCGCTTATGACAGTCTCGCAGATGACTGTCTTCAACGGCTAAATGAAATCTCACTTATACCTCATCGAGACACTACTGAGACTGAAGGATCGACGTCCAAGCCAGCAAAGAGAGACCTATACGTTTTGCTCGAAAAGCATCATGACGATGATCTCAAGATCAAAGAGTTCTGGAATGAGATTAACACCGTTCCTGACTGGGTTGACTGGGAACAGATTCAGAGAGGACAAGAAGTATTCTACCGTTATGGAATGGCAGTGATCAATGTGGTAAGCTTGGGCCATTTTTCTGTAGATTCAACCGGTGGCTAACGTCAACATCATATATAGCTTACTTTTCAGAGTCTATTGGGCGGAATGTCGGACTCCTTATCGGGATACTAGCAATGAAACTGAGCTAACAATCGCCGCAGGGGATCCGGACGCGTCGTCGAAACTTTAGCAAGGACTGGAGGATTCGCCGCAGATGTCGCACGACGCAGGATGCTGGAAACCCTTCAACACGTTCTTCAGGTCGCCGGGTCCGTTGATGCCATGAGACCAGGAGGAGCTGGTCACGCCTCATCGGTTCGAGTGCGGTTGCTTCACGCCGCTGTCCGTTCAAGGATATTGGACCTGGTCAAGAACAAGCCTGAATATTACGATGTCGACAAGTTCGGCATTCCTATTAATGACCTTGACTGCATAGCCACTATCAATACCTTTTCGACAAGCGTAGTCTGGATTGGGTTGCCTCGGCAGGGTATCTTGCTGCGAGAGCGAGAGATTGATGACTATCTTGCCCTGTGGCGGCTGGTGGCGTACTATATGGGCGCGCCGCATGAGTTCCTCGAGACGAGGGCTAAAGCTAAAGCCATGATGGAATCCCTCCTCGCGTCGGAAATAGATCCCACCGAGATGAGTAGGATCCTGGCGCAGAACATTATCCTGAGTCTTGAAAACACACCCCCAACCTACGCATCCAAGGAGTTTATGGAGGCCATGGCTCGGCATCTCAACGGCAAGCAGCTGTCTGACGAGCTCGATCTTCCGCGGCCCACCCTCTATTACCAGGCGCTCGTATATGGATACTGCATTGTCGTGATGTGGTTTGCTTATACTTTCAGATTGCTCCCCTCTATTGACCAAGCAATGATCAAGGTAAGAATGCGTGTCTTGCTTCGGTCACTAACTTCGACTATCTTTGTGCTGATGAATCACAGTTTCGTCGCAAGAGATACTATAATATAATCAATGACAAGGACGAAGGGCTCGGTGGGGAGCCATTCTTCGAATTCAAATACGTACCTTTCTACACTCGTACCACGCGACTGGGGAAGCGCAAACCACCGAAGCGAACCAAGCGTGGGGTAGAGTTTCTGGCGCTCATGGGTCTACTGTTTGCTGTTGTTGCTGCTGGCGCACTGTTGGGCAGCATTTTGCACTTACTGTATAAACTACAACGTGCGTAAGCAAGTCCTCTCAGTGGAGTTAGAGGTCATCAAACTAGGGATAGATAGCAGATCACGTCTCCAGGGAAGCTGAAAGGCAAACCTGCTACGAGTATATTTGCTGCGGAGTTGGTTAGAATTTCCTGTGAGGTCAGGACTGATCATATCCACCGAGTAGATTAGGAAACATGTCTAATTGAAGTCTCCTGAGTGACTAAAAACCTGTCCATGGCAGTGACAGTAAGACCAAGCGGTTTGGTTTTGGAAACGTGTCGCATGAGCTGGAGACCAGATCCACTGTGCCCCTGTGTCTGTTTCGCCACGATGACGACATCCATCACGACCAGTGAGAATTGAATAAGTTTATAAAACCAATGCAGTGGCACATCAACACGCCATTGGGATGAGCCAAAATTGATTTCAGCACTTTATCAATTCCCTGTAGTCCGTCATGCTGGAGGGCCCAATCATCACACCGTTCCTCGGTGCGCTCCAAGCATGTGTCTCGGTCCTCCTTACCATGAGCTATGGAGCCATAGCTGAACGGCTTCAACTGGTGAAGGAGAGCTCGATAAGTGATATGGCTGGTCTGGGCGTGAAGCTCTTTCTTCCGGCTTTAATTGTTGTTCATCTGGGCGAACAACTGCACGCGGACATTGTCCTCAACTATGTTCCTGTCTTAGGTGAGGCATTACCACAACAGTCACCAGTTTCACAGACGATAGTAGCCTGATTGGAGGACTAATTGTTCAATTTACAGTCTGGGCGGCTCTGTACACCTCTGCCTCTATTGGACTTGCTCACGCTGTATCACGAGGCCTGGGACTCCCAGTTTGGGTAACGCCCGCATGCGCATTCAACAACACAACCTCGCTGCCATTGCTCCTCCTGCAATCTCTAGAGAGCGTGGGGAGCTTGAAACTAATCATTCCAGAAGGTGACTCAATGTCAGGCGCAATCGCCCGCGCTCAGAGCTATTTCCTCCTTTGCGCTGTCGTCAGCAAGACCATCGGCTACGCCGTTGGGCCCAAGATGCTCCAGAACGGCAACAACCAGGACGAAGGGAGAGACGCACAAGACACCGACGCTGAAGCAGGACAGAGCGATAACGGCGACGACGCAGACAACGACGAGGAAGCCAGCGAGGAGACCTCGCTTCTGCCGGAGCGCGCGCAGAAGGCCCGGCGCAAGGTCACTGGCAAGTTCAGGCGTGTGGGCCGCTGGGTGTCGGCTTTCTTGCCCGAGCGCGTGAAGCAGGAACTGATGGCGCCGTTTGAGTCGCCATTTGCCGACGTTGCGATCTTATGCACTATCGTCGGTGCTACGCTTGGTCTCGTCCCTCAGCTGCACAGAGCATTCTTCAGTCCCTACGAGGAAGGCGGGATCTTCAACGCCTGGCTTACGTCGAGCGTTAAGAATATCGGCAAGTTGTTCACGACCTTGCAGATTTTTGTTGTGGGAGGAAAACTGGGAGCTAGCTTCCAGAGGATGAAGGCCAGTGGGAATTCCGGGGAGATACCTAAGAAAGCAATCGTGACAATTTTCCTGGTTCGCCTTGTCATTTGGCCTGCGTGAGTGCTTGGTGTCGGGACGCTTGCTGTACCTAGCACTGACCACCAAAATTACAGAATCAGCATCTCCCTCATCTACATGCTAGCCAAACGAACAGGCCTTGTCCGCTATGATCCAATCTTGTGGTTCAGCTTGATGTTGATGCCAGCCGGGCCTCCTGCGCTGGTGATATCAGGCTTCGCGGAACTGGCAAAGATTTCAGAAGCAGAAAAGATGGCTGTCGCAAAGACTCTGACTGTAAGGAACTTCTGTCTCTTGAAGGAGGTTGAGAGAATGCTAACTAGCTAGCAGGTTATGTATATGCTCTCGCCATTTGTATGTTTTACCATTACAGGCGCTTTGATGGCATCCCGAGCAGCCTTGGATGGTAAGAATTAGAATCTACAAGAAGATACAGATGTCTATGAACAGAATTACAGCTCTTATTTTCTACTGTCTGTATATGTACGTTTGGACTAGCTTATAGTAGACTCTACTACTAAACCATACGAGAATTACATTCAGAACAAGATTAAACAATGAAATCACAATGGTATTGACTATGTGATATAAAACAGACTTTCGTCAATCAATCATCGTTACCACCCGTCAATCATTACTCGCACTGATTGCACGTCGTTGCAGTGATTAGAGGGAAAGGCTAAAGGTTTACTTCTATACCCAAGTGCAGGTCAGCCCTCATATCCATCCTTTATCAAGTCATCTCACCAGTTTCCTGAGAGATAGTCCAAGAGATACGTACTCCGCAACCCTTGCAAGCACAGTTGTTGCTGCAGGTGCAGGACTGGGGTCCGTTGCAGGGGCAGTCGCCCGAGCTAGTGCAGGTGCAGGTGTCTCCCATTATGGATAAGATGTTCAAGAAGTAGATATGATCAGAGGAAGTGGAATCCGAGAATCCAGATTGGGAACTTGATGAGTACCGTGTGGGAAGCGACGGAGGGCCACAGCTGGAGAGTTATATACTTGC